TTTTTATTGTGCTAGTGAGGCCCTGTTGTATTACTGTATTAGCAGGGTGCATACAAACAGGTAGATGTGCTCTTCACATACACCTAACATATTTTTAATACTATGTAGGTATATTTTCAAGAGACCTCCCCATATTGATTTTATTGTTCAGGTTTTTAGATCCCCTGGAAAAGCTTTGGTATGATATGGCTTTCCACCACAACCCTATTCTTACAAAATACGTTATGTGATTATTAGTGATCATGTTTAATTAGTGCTTCTGTTTTATATCTCATCGACAGGATGGTATCTCTTAGAGTTCAGTGCCTGCTAAAGCCACGCCAGATCATTACTGTAGAAAGGATTCCAGAGCTTTTAATACCACATACCAAATCATCTTCACATTTCCCTGAAGCATGTACAATTTTCCTTGGAGATCTTCTCTTCATGTAGAGTGAGGACTGACTCCTGGTAAGGTTTATGAGTCTGATGAAATCACAATTCTGAGATGGAATGTATGCCAGCTGTATACGAACACCCTTTGATACATAATAAAATTCAGATACAGAATAAAAGAAATAAATGTGTTAGAATGTGGCCCAGGGAAAGAAGTTCACTATAGTCTAAATGTACTTCATGGAGTACAGGATATAATCATGTTAGAAAAATCTCAAAGTATAAGTAAAAAAGGGTTCCAAAACCGAAGTTGTTTTAGAATTTCATAAGGGTCATTTTATTGTATGATGTTACACAAAACTCCAAAAGCAAAGTTATTACAGCACAACACTCTATGGCAGTGGTTTTCAACCTGTGGATTATGTCTAAGGAATCCACAAAAGATAACTATGATAAATCAAAATGTTGTGAATACCCACACTTACAAGTAGAAGGGGTCCATACCTCCATTTAGATTTTTTTATGGGACCGCAAATGAAAGAAGGCTGAAAACCACTGCTGGTAAGCTGGACCTACATTGTGTGGCAAACTCCCTAAACTCTGGCATTTATTGAATGTTCTACAATCAGTGTAGTACTCTCCTGTACAATGTATTTAATAATAGAATTTATTTGTTTATTTCTGTCTCCAAAAGTTTGGTTTTTGGTATGTTGCAGGCTGATATCTCTAAGGACAGAAGTTACACATAAATCAGTTTAAGTGATCAGAAACTGGTTTAAACCTGTAACAGAACACAAGGTCTCAGGGCACTCCATGCACATAAACCAGTTTCAAAATGGCTGAAACTGGTTTAAGAAAAACCTGGTTGAATGTAGTATCAGACTGAACTGATTTGGGTCAAACCAGTTTATGAAACTTCTGTCTCAGACTCCCTTCCTGTTTCAAGTTAAATCACAGTCCCCCAGCATCCCAGCATGTAGCCCTGGGTTGGGCTGTCTGCTCAGAAGGGCAGGGCTAGCCTTGCCACTCTGCTCCATAGCTGGAGCAGTGAGGGCTATTTGTTAAGGTGGTTGCAGGGGAAAGCCCGGCTGGGGATGCAGCCCAATCTACAGGGGGAGACTGCCCCCCGAGGCAAATCCTGGCTGGGGTATAAGACCAGGGAGGGGGTTAAACACCCCTTCCCCCACTCAAAATTACTGCAGGCTGCAACTGTGGACTACAAATCCCAGAGGCACCTGGAAGAGGAAGTGATGAGCAAGCCTGTACTGTCTTGCTGCTGTACTTGTGGACTGCAAACCCCAGAGACCTTGGGATCACCAGGGGGAAGAAGTGAACACCCAGCCAGAGACCTGTGCGCTAGCACCCCCCAGCTTCTGGCCTGAGCCACTGCAGGCATGTGGCTGCATTTCCTGAATTGAAGGTAAATGCCTGTTCGCTTCTGTTTCAATTTAATCTGTGTAGGTAAGACTAACTTGCAAAGACTGAATCGATTCAGCCTCAGGCTTTTTGACTGTCTGTACTTAGCCGGTTCAGACATCAGAACGAGGTAGTTCTTACCTTGCTAAGCTTTGAAGTTGGCTTCAAAACCAAGATGGTATCACAGCTTTGAATTAGATCTGCTTCATACTATCCAAGCTTTTCTTCACAACAGGGTAGGTGCATCATTCTGGAGTACACTTCTTCAGCAAATGAACTTTTTGCAACTTCCACCATCCCAGAATTGTGGTATACAAAGGGCTTCAGTGATAATGTTGTTGCTGTTTATAAAGATGGTGACTGACTTAAATCCTGGTCCTCTTGAATGTGATAGCTAGCCCTGAGCATGATTACCGGGGTGGGGGTGGGGGGGAGAGCAATCATCTGTCTCTCAAGCTGTTGCCATGGCTGAGAGGAACTTTACAAATGTATGGGAGAGAGTCCTTTTGGGGCACCACCTTGATTATGGTAACCACCTGTTCTTTATTTATTTTAAAGGGTGTCAGCCTGATCACAACAGATAATGCCTCCTATGAAGTGCTGAGTTCTGTAGGTTGCTCAGCACCACACAGATGTTGTTCAGGCACTTGAAGGATTAGATTGTTTTATCCCATATTGAATTACATGAAGTTTCCTCACAGTCCAACAGTTATAATGCAAAGGTCATCTACTGTGTTACAAACATACAAAGCTCTGTTCCTGTCGTGATCTTTGCGCAGTCAGGCAGCCCCCATGCCCTTTTGTGAAGTAAATGGAGTTATACATGGATTCACTGGTTTAGCTGTGTTGTGCGTGTGGAACTGCCAAAGTCATGTGTTGTTCCAAGCATTAAACATTATGGGGTACAGTCCCTTTAAGGAATTTGGAGGACATGTAAAGTTGTCAGTACATCAGTATGATTTAGTATATTCTTTTAATAACATGAGATCCCGTAAGTCGAGGTGGGAGGGAAATGGGAATTTTCATTTCAAATTGCAAAAACTGACAGCTATTAGGGAGCTTTAGCCTAGGGGAGTCTCAAGCCCCAAGGAGTCTGCTTGATCTCCATTTCTTTTCACCCCTATTTTTCCTCCCCAAAACAAGAGACAACCTTCAAAGGAACAAACAAGTCACTTTAAATACCTGGCATAAAAAATAGGCCAGATACATTATTCAAATAAATTTTAAAAAAATCCAACAGAAGATGCAAGTTATGGGCTGTTTGACAGGAGTTAATGCTGTCGCAATCACTTAACTTCACAATCCAAGAGTTTTCTTCCCTAGAAAGGCGCACAGTTGAAACTATACCATAAAGCGAATCCTCTCAATTTTCCAAAGAAGTATTGGGTGGTACAAGGGAGGCCAACCTATTGCACATGTGCCACAAGTGGCACAGGCAGCCTCTTTGTGTGACATGTGACAGATCCAGGAGGGCTCAGGGCAGGGAACAAAAAGGAAATCAGCAGGCTTGGCAGGGAGCAGATCAGGCAAGGTGAGGGGATCAGAATGATACTTGCGGAGGGCATGGGGCTTTTTTCTGGCATACCTGCCAGAAAGGTTGGCCCCTACTGGGGTAGTAAATGTTTTATTTAATGGCTTTGCATTGACTGAGTCACTCAACACCAGAGTGTTATCATATATTCTTGTAATCTTTCCTGATGATGAACTCCATTCCTGAAAGTTACGCTGCTGCAATTTTGGAATCTCCATTACAGATTACTTCCAAGTCTGCCTCTGTCCCATATCTCCTTTGCCCCATCTCCCCCAAAATGTGAGGGGTTGAAAACACAGAGTTGGACCAAAATGTTTTGGAGTGGACCCTTTTACACCAATCCCTACGTGGTTTGAGTAGTGGTTTGTAGAGCAAATTTCTTAGAAACGCTCACTCTTCTTTTTCAAAACTTGAGCTACTAAGTACTCTGCTCTTTTTGTTCTCTTTTATCTTGCCCAGCTGAACTAAAATAATCCCGAGGGAGATGTGATTTTCATAGAGTAAAAAATAATGACCAGCAGAAGGAAGGAAACACGTTTTTCATGACTGTGAAAATTCTCTGTACAAAAATGCAAGGGGTTTTTTATTTATCCTGTCTGTAAAACAAAACTAATGTTCTAAAATCTGGAGAAGCCTGGCTTTTTTATTTTATTATTAATATGGCTGATAGAGGATGTTGTCCATGACCATTCTAGGCCATTAACACCTCTGCCCTTGAAGGATGAATGTTTCTCATATTCATGGTGACTTGACTTGAATTATTTGTATAAGAAAAGATTACTCACATGAGTAACAGTTTGCTGATTCTTATGCTTCTAGGAAGACCAGGCTTTTTAAAACATGTCATCTGTTGTGGCATTTTCTTTGAAGTTTTCTGATGCCTAGCACCTGAGCAGTTACTTTGTATCTGGGATATAATTTGAAGTGACAAGGTGTGTATTTGTATTAAATTTCCAGATACCAGTATATTTGGCATCCACAGAGGGAAAAGGAAGGACACTTCATTTGACTCTTATTTATATGAACATCATCAGTCTATTTAAAATACTGTATTTCTGAATATACACCAAAAGAGGGGTCCTGATGCAGGCAAGTTTTCAGAGGGGAAGGAGACCTTGACTTCTGAGGGAGCTTAGTAATGGAAATGTTTGACAACCTCATTTAGCACCCAATACTGTAGTGCTTAACCCAGGCAAATGACCTAAAATCCTAAGGGGCTGATCCTGGGAGATTCAGAATGCTGTCAAGTCCCAGAGAAGGTGATGATCCTGATTTTGGGTTTCCCAAGAGTGCTTTGAGTTGTGTCAGCTGTTACCTGGGTGCTGCAAGGCTGGCAGGATGCTGTGGATTTCCACTTCTGGCATAAGCTTGCTCCAACTGTGGGAAGGGCCAAGGAAGCTGCTTTACACCACTGTCCACTGGGAGCCCTCTGGCACTAGGCATGCCGGGAACTGGAAGCACAGCAGGCAGTGGTGGGGTGAATGGCTTTGACATACTGCATTCCAGTTTCCTGGGGCTTCTGGGTCAGCACGGGGCCAGTTGCAGCTGTAGCTAAATTAGAGCGGTCTCCACCAGTGTTGCAATTTGCACCAGTCCCCAGCAGGGCCAGACACAGGCATGGGTGAATTGGGCATCCGCCCGGGGTCCAGACAGAAAGGGGGCCTGAAAATGGTAAATTTTGGATTATTATTATCATTATCTGTGGCGAAGGGGGACCGAAACTAAAAGTTCGTTTGGGGCTGACAGGAGTCTAGGTACGTTGCTGGTCCCAGAAACAAGGTGGTGCAAACTTGGCACAAAACCACTCTCACACCCCCCTCCCACCCTAGTCCTCAAACCGGTTGGTCTAGGAATGGAGCATGGGAGGAAAACATAAAAGCCAAAATCCGGTCCCCAGACACCCTCTTTGGAAGTGTGTGAGGCTGGGGCTGGCATATTGTCCTCGCGCAGCACGAAGGAGCAAGGAGGTCTGCAAAGCTGCAGCTGGGTGTGGGGAAGGGGAAGGACCAGGCGCCTGGGGGGCATGCAGCGTGCCCCAAAGTCCCCCCCGGCATCAGCTCGAGCAAACACATTGCAGCTATTAGAAAGGGGCCTCCTCCTCTGCCTTCCCAGCGCTTCCTCCATGGCTCTGTGCTCTGCTGCCTGTGTCTGGCTGGAAGTGAAATGCACTAGAGCTGCCGCCGCCGCCGCTGCTGCTCCTTTTTTTTTTTTTTGGAGACTCCAAAAGGATCTTTATTCCCTTTCATGTGCCGCCTCAGTCCAATAGGAAGCCAGCGCCTGCCTGCAAGTGGTCTAATCTCAATGAGGTGTCAATCATGTTCCCTGGTGGGTGAAGTAAGGTCTTTTGTAACCGCCTCTGTCTTTGGGAAAAGAGGAGAGCGAGGAGCACGGAGAGGGACCCGGACCCGGACCCGGACCGCGCTGCAGAGGGGACCCGAGCCGCGCTCTGGCTCTGGCTCTGGCTCTGGCAGGGGGGCGGCGCGGCACATGGATGTGTAGCCCCGCCGGGACTGTGCCCAGGGAGCCCCCGCAAACAGTCCAATGAGTCGCAACTGCAGATCCATGCAGAGAAATGGGGAAACTTCACTCCAAACATGGTTAGTTCCTTCCCCAGCCCCTTCCCCTTGCTCGGCTCGTTGCTGGGATTGTATGCCGGCCTCTAATCTTCTCCCTTTATTATTCCCCCCGCTGCCGCGGACGTGCCCAGCTGCCGTGTGTAAGCCCCGGGAAAGCCCCGAAGGTAGGCACGGCTCTTCGCGGCCACCCCGCCTCGCCCCCCGCTTGCCCCTCAAACTTTGCGCCGCCGCCCGCACCCGGCTCGGGGCTGCCCCGGGGCCCGGGCGCGGCGCGGGGGCAGGCGGGGGCACCGCTCCAGCGTGGCGTTGTCTCCTCTGCTTTCCTAGGTGATAGTTTCGCGGTGAACGCCTCCCTGGCTCGGAAGGGCATTGAGGACTGGATGGTGAAGCAGAAATACTGCGGG